TTATATTACACTATTGTAATGTTATTGGTAAGTATTTATATGTTAGTTGTACTACTACTCATTTATATGTAGGTTATATCTATCATAGATTTATTTACATTGTTATTGTATTACAGGTTATCTTATACTACATATCTATCTTATTATTATACATATCTATCTTATTATTATACATATTGTTGTTGTATACACTTATTTAATTGATTTGTAGATTACTTATATTACATTGGGATATTATACTACTTATTTATCTTATAAATTGTACTGTAATTTATATACGTTATATTGTAGATTATTTGTTATTTATATGTAAGTTATACTAGTTTGTTCTATTCTGTATATTATCCATTATCCCGTTTGATTATATGTATAATAATTTATCTGTATCTATGTTATATGAATATTGATTTATACTATGTTATATTCTTTAATTTACCAGTGTACACTCTAAATATTATACTCTATTATCTACCTATTCTTTGTATACGTTTACCTTATAAATCATATATTAATTTTGTAGGTTAAGTAGAAGTAATATTTTTATTGGTTTACACTTGATCTATTATTAATTTGTACTGGTATTTATTGGTATATTAGTTTATTCTTTATATTATATTGTAGATACATATCATTATATTTTACTTATTATCACTACTATTTAGGATATTTATATTTACCCGTTATTTAATTTGTATGTTATCTATTAATATGTTGATTATTATCTTATTTTTAAGATACTACTATTACAATTATTATTCATACATTAGTTAGTTTATTCTTTATTATTGTTATACTATTAAGTAGGTTATACATTATCATGTTATTAGTAGTATATTAAACTATATTTTATTATCTTTATAGGTTATTATACATATTATTATATTTATACTTTATCTTTATTATTATTGTATTTGTAGGTATTATTATTAAAATATTAATTCAAATATATTCTTATTATATTATTTTATAGAGTTATGTATTATTCCTACTTATTTATATAATTTATAGTTTTATTATATATTGATATATTGTATTCTACCATATTAATATTATAAGTTATCATATTGTTTAATTTGTAGGTTATACTTAATTTTATTACTCATTTAATTATATTATTGTATTATATATTCTTGTACATTATTGGTAGGTTATTATTTATTTTATTACTCAATTATTTATTAGTTTATTATCTATGTTAATTTAATTCTTTGTTTACTTTATCTATCTTTATGTTATACATTATTCCTACGTTGGTAATTATTTAATTGTTTACCTTGTAATTTGTATTATAAGTTAGTTTATACACAGGTGATATGTTGGTAATTATATCATATTTGTATTTAATTATTGGATATTGTTATATATTTATATTATAGTACTTATTTATACTTACTATATTTGTACAGGTATTTATTCAATTACTCATTATCATATTATATTATTATTATAGTTTAATTTGTACTTATGTATATTAGTATTCATCTATCTATGTTATTTACCTACGTTAATATTGTATTTTTATATAAGTTATATTATTATAATTGGTATGTTGGTTTACACAGTTATATTTGGTTATACTTTACATATTAATCTACCTACTTATTCTTTGTATTCTAATTTATTATCCCAGGGAAGTATATTATTTATTCTACACTTACATTATATTCTACTATTCTTTATATTATTGTACTAATTTATACTATTACATTCTACTTTGTATTCTATACCATTACCTATTATCATACTCATGATTTATATTGTATATTACCTTATTATGTACCTTCAATGTTATTAATTATACACTTTATCTATTCTTTAACATTGTTATATTTATCATATCATTATTGGTTATATTGTTTATATGTACCTATATTCATTCTATTATACCATTATTATACTTTATTCCTATTTTATTATCTATCTTTATATTCATAACCTAATTTCTTACATATACTATTCTTTCTACTATTTACGTTATATCCTACAAATACTAATCACATTATATTACCTATACGTTATTTTACATTATTATCTACTTATAAATTATCCAACTATTTAATACTATTATACATTTAATCATGTATATGATGATGTGTACTTAACTGAGATAACTAGCATGGTAAAATTATTGGTACGACGTAGTCGGTAGTTAACAGGTATGTTTAGATAAAGAGTATATTAGGATTATAATATTATAGATAACTTACGAATACCCACGTGGATTAATTGTATTATAAGGTAAGATCGTACATCTGTATCATCTTAATACCTAATGTACCTTTATTATTAAACTTTGTGATTAATATAAAGTGGTACCTACATAATTTTATATTAAATTTAAGATAGTATTGTTAGTACTTGGTAATGTAAAAGGTTAAGATAGATTAATAATACGTAGATAACCTAGGTTGGTATAGAAGTTAAATACTAGTTTAGGTTTACAATCATCTACTAATATACCAGTTGTTGTACTTGTTTAATCTATATTTTAGTATATGGTCGATAATTTAATAACTTGGTGTATGTATTATTATTTTTTACCTACATATTATATTTATACATGTAAAGAATTATAATCATGTAGTTGTAGTAGAATTTTATTATAACTTAACAAACCTTGTATTTTATAGATTAGGTTATTGGATTATTTATTTGTACATTATTATACTCATTATCTATAACTACATTTTTATTATAACATTTATTTATTAATTTATTTCTACACATGTGTATTACTATATTAGACTATAACCTACTGTATTATAATTAGACTAATATCATAACAATACCAACTAAATTACCAACCGACTACGTAGATTATACTTTACATTTACCTAAATTATTACATTGTATACTACCGACTACGTCGACTTTACACGAATATTATAGATTATATGTTGGTACTGTAGATCAGGATGGAGAGAATCGAACTCCCGTCACTGGAACCCAAAACCAGCATAATACCATTATACTACATCTTAAGATGTGATGTATTAAAAATATTGATCTAGATATAAAATAGGTTTGAAATTAGTCGACGTAGTCGCTAGGTATAATTTACTAATTTAGACTATTATACAGTAATATTAATTATACAATATTTATACTAAAATTAACCATATTAATTTAAATATTAATGTACTTAACCTGTACGGGGCGAGATTTAGTATTACTAAAATTACCAGGTTATACTTTATCATACTTAGATTATTTTGATTATTATTTTACCCCACATCTACAATCCAAATAAATATCTTTATACTACTTACTTGATTGTATTATACTATTATTATTATTAAGAATCTTGTACATTACTTTTAATTTATTTTACTTGATCTACTTTATCCTGGTGTAATTACCTAGATGTTAGATAAATTATTGATTATAATCTAGTGTATTAATCTGTACAATAAAATTACCTGGGTAATACTTAACATAATAATATACATAACAATTATACCTTGGTAGATAAATTATAACGGGAGATATAACGATAATTTTACATAAATACCAAAAAAGTATATTAATACCAGAATATATAAACTTGATAATACATAATAATATACACATTAATAATATAACAATTATAACCTTTTAAATTTATAACAGAATATTATCCTAATCAAGTACTTTTATAGGTAGATTATCCTGTACTTTTGTAAGTCGCCGGTGACGAGATTTAGTTATATAATATGTTTATTCTCTTGTAAATTTAAAATTACTTTACCATCCGAGTAATATAACTATAAGTGATTATACATCAGGGAATATTATAATCAATGTACTTGTTTATATAAAATGAGTAATCCAACGTAGAATAACATAGATACTTATAAATTATAATAAACTAGAATATACAATATAATACGGTTAAATTATAGGTAGATAATCAAATTAATAATAAGGTTAATGGATATGATATTGTGTAATGTATAAATATTTAAATTTTTCCTCTTAATTAACTAGGTACTTTAATATGTTAAGTTGGTAATGAATACTAAAATAATACATAGGTAAATACAATAATAATAACCAATAACATACCAAATAATATAATAACGTAGGTAAATACAATAATTAACTAATTGAGTAACAATACTATTAAATAAAGTAGAATACAACAATAATAAATGGAATACAGAATAATATAAGTGTATAATAGTATACAAATCATATAATAGTACAATAATATATGATAAAGTTGAGTATAAACTAGTATAATACGGGTAAAGTTGAGTATAATATAACCAACAATATGTAAAAGAAGATAATGAGTATGTTATACTCTGATGTAAAAAAATAATATTCAAATAACATATATACAGATAACGTATCGTGGTATAGAATATAAAACAAGTACAATATAACATAACATATATAACCTAGATAACACAGAGTACAAATAACCTGTGTAGTATAAATACAGATAATAAAATATACCTGTACAAATTAATATACAAATAACCTAATAGTAAAATGTACACCTGTATAAATTAATAGAATAATATAATAAATAACTTACAAAACAATATAAATAAGATAATGTAGAATATGTGTAGGTCAACCTGTACAAATTACAAACTAATAACCAAATAGTAGAGAATATACAGAATAATAGTATACAAACATATCACCTGTGTAACATATTATAAGATAATGTAGTATAAGATAACCTCTGTAATATAACAATGTAAATAAATCTATGATAGATACAATATAACCTACATAATAATTAAATAAGTAATATAATATAAAGTAGGTAGAATAATAGAATAGTAGTACAAATTACAATCAAATAAAAATAAATACAATAGTGTAATAGATTAAAAATAAGAGTAGTATAATGAATAAAATAACTAATATAAACATATAATACCTATAAAACCTGTGTATAATGTAATAAGATAAACCTATAAAATAATATAAAGTTGAATATGATATATACAAATAACCTGTGTAGTATAATAAATAATAACATATATAAATAATATAAAGTACAATGTTGAGGTAGGTAATACCAATAAAGTATATAATCAACATATTAATAGATAACATACAAATTAAAAGAGAAAAATAGTACAATAATATAAATAATGTATACAAATAATAGAGTAATAATTGAGTAATATACCAATATAATGTGTACAAAGAATAACTCTATAATATAATATAGTAGGTAAAACCAATGTAGTATAGTAATATAACCTGTGTAGTATGAGTACATAGATGATAATATGATAATTTAATATAATATCCCAATGATAATAGTACAAATAATATATAACAATATACAAAGTAATATACCAACATAAATAAGATAAACATATAAATATAAAGGATAATTAATATATATACCAACATGTAAATAACTAATAATGTACAATAATACTATAAAATAGATAGGTGGATAATAATTAGAATATGTAAATCAATATAACAGAATAATAAGTTGAATATAAACCTACGTACAAGAATAACATACAATAGATAGGTAAATAACCTAGATAGATGAATACTAAATACCTACATACCAAGATAAACATATAAATATAATAGTATAAAGAATAATATAAATAATAGTATAATCTACATACAACTGTAATATGTAAAGTATAAGTATATAAATAAATGAGTAATTGAATAATTACCTGTACAAATAATACATAGATAAACACTAATAACCTATACAATAATACTACAATTAAAAGTAATATATCTACATAGATACTAAACAATAGAATACACCTACGTATAAATTACAGTATAATGTAGAGTATAACCTACGTGGAAATATGAATAAATAATAGTAATCTACGAATTACCAACATAGTAAAATAATACAATAATAATAAAGTATAATATACCTGTACAAGAATGTAAACATATAAATATAATAGTACAATTAAAGAGTAATATACAAATTACAAGGTAAACAATTAAATAATTATATAGGAATATGATATATACAAATTAATAAGAACATAACTAATAACCTACATATAAATGAGTAGTAGTACAACTAACATATAAATACTTACCAATAACATTACAATAGTGTAATATAAATATATAATGTAATCTACATACAACTGTAATATAATAAACTAGAATAATAGTAGTATAACCTACGTGTAAAGTACAAATCAATATATAGATAATAATATAATAATATACCTGTGTATAACATGTAAATAACTAATATAACGTATATGATAAAAGTACAATGTAATAATAAACTAGATATACCTCTGTAATGTAAATATAAGAATAATATGATAAAGTAGTGTAGTATAACATAATAAACTATATACTAATCAATTAAATTGTAGTGTAAACCAATAATATGATAATGTAAAAGTAGGAAAGTATAATTAAATAAAGTGTTTAATAATATATTGAATGTATAAGACTCATCCCTTTCTATAGTTCAAATATTTATTTTCCCGTTATTTAATTGGTTTATAAATCTTTACCTTTTCAACTCTATACCTTAGTTAAACTTCTATAATTCATATTAATCTTTACCTATCCGTGTACGTTATATATTAGTTTATTAATTATCATCATTACCTATGTTATACTATTATTTATATTGTTTTGTAAGTTATTTATTCTACACAGGTTATATTATTGTTTACCTATTAATCTATATTTAATTATCTAGGTTATTTACCTACGTTAATATTGTATTTTAGTTTATAATACTATTATATTGATTTAAATTGATATTGTATTAATCTACCTATATTAATTAATATATAACTTAATATTGTATTTACCTACGTAATTATATTATTACTCATCTTATTTATGTTGGTTATTTTATTCTTTATTATTGTTATACTATTATAGTATGTAGGTTATTAGTATTTATCTATGTATTATTTTACTATACATTATCCATATTATTTGTATGTAATTTATTCTTTATTTTACTTATATTACAGAGGTTGGTATACTATTATCTATTCTTATTGGTAATAATTATACTATTTATGTTATATTAC